TTTATACAACTGCTGTTCCAAAGGGGGCCCGAATGTCAGCTGAGGCCTCTGTGGATTATTGTAATATAAGTAAACAATAATTTATTCTAAAAGTACTGTTTAACCAATAGTCTTGCCGCACTTTAGAGACTAACAAAACATGTAGATGGTTTTTGTGGACACAACCCACATCTTCAGATGAACGGTGAAAGCTCATGATGCCGTCTACATGTTTTGTTAGCCTCTAAGGTGCTGCAAGACTATTTGTTGTTTAAGCTTTTCCAGTTACAGACTAACTCGGCTGCCATCTGAAGCTTTTTATCATTAACCAGTTCATGAAGACAGACAACAGTTACATTCTGATCTCCCCTTAAACGAAAGCAGAATACAAAACAAGCGTAGATGTTATAATTACCAAATGAAACCGGTTTTAAACATGAATCTATTATTCCATAAACACTCAGATTGTTCTATGCTAATATCAGCCACAGTTCTCAATCTCCCGCCTGTCTGTGCTATCTTCTAGTAATTAAGGTCACTTCCCAGCTGCTTTATCTGTAAGAGGCCTCGTTGTCAATAATTATCAGCCTTTTTCTCTTTGGCTTAAAATACACTTTGAGTTCCACCTGCTCGCTTCCTGCCCCTTCATCTTGATTACAGAGTAGGAAGAAAAGAGTCAGTAAACTCCAGGCAATATCAAACATGATTTCACCACACAGTAGGAGTCCAAGATAAGTGATACCGACAGGGTGGGGATGGGAAGTTACAGTCTTTGACTGATGTTGTTCCCTACTTTTGCAAATAACTCTTTCTCCCTCTTGCAAAAAAGTTTCAGAAATGTAATTAAAGAAAGTGGGAAACTTTCTTAGAATCAATATTTTCTTCCCTAGTCATGAAATATTCCAAGGATGTTTGTTTCACAAGCACAAAGACCCCAGAACTCCTACCCAAAAGCCCACTAGGCAATTTTAGGATTTCCATTAAATGGTGCTCCAGTCCAGCAGCAGACTGCCCACTAGTCAATTATTTATATAGCTAGCACAAATGTGCACCACTGTTTGACGACAGCAGACACATTGGATGAACAATTGATTCTGCACGCACCCTACCTCCAAGTGGCATGCGTTAGCACCCGCTCATAACAGAGCAGTTGAGAGAGGGCCATAGGTGAGCACAGTTCTCTCCAGTATTAGCGCCTGTCGTCATCGTAGAGACAGACAGCAGTATGAAGGAAAGAAAGGTCAAGGTACAGAAAACAAGCAGAGTTGGTCCTTCCGTGAAAGCTGAAGATCTGTAAGAAAGGAGGGAAACTGAGGCAGAAAGGGCCCAGGGTCACACAGGAAAACTGTGGCAGAGCCAAGACCTGAGCTGAAATCTCCTGAAGGCCATCCCCACTGACTTCAATTAAGGTGCTCCAGATTTACACCAGCATATCAGTTCAGAATCTGGCTCACAAAACATTCCTCATCCACAGCTGACAGTCGATCTATGGGAGTGTCAATAAGAACAACAAACAGAATTGCAGTGGTTTATCTTCACCTTGGGGTTTCTGATTTGTTACATGTAAATATAGCTCAGGAAGGGGACACCAGATGCAATTGGTTTATGTAACATTGACCGGCTCCATTGACTGTATGCAATTAAGAAAGGACTTCCTACATATACAAGAGGGAGTTAGTAAATATAAGTTTCATTACCTCAGGTTGCTGGGAATTTCCATTTCCCACTGCAGGTGTCAATAGGAGCCATTTTTTAGATAGTACATGTTTTTTATTCCCTGTACTGTTGCAGTCTTCCCATCTGATCTGCTGCTACCAGATCTGTTTTTATTTTTGCTGGCAATTATGTGTAAGGTGCCAAGAAAACAGTATTCTTCATACCTTTACTATATTACCTCTGGTCATTGCTTGTCAAAATGTACTGCTTAGAATATTCAAAGAGTCTAATAAAATATTATAAAATCCTCTGCCATACAAGTGGTTTTCATCGAGTTAAAAATGAAAGCTCCTCAGTAATTCACAACTTCTAATAAAGAACAGGATTTGTGCTATTTTTCTACTGCCGCAGAAACTTGTGCAAAATATTCATATGTTCAAATATAGGTGTAACTGAAATCAATTGGAATATTTCAAAGAGGCATGGTCTATGTCTCTGACCACACTCCTGAGATCTAATTTATACTGTCATCAAGAAAGCCATTTAAACGTTATGCTATTTCCCCCGTCCCCACCTTACATTATATGGTTGGGTAATGCTTGTAAAAGAGTTTTGTGGCTTTAAAAGGCTGCAAGTGACAGTGTTTATTAATGCATACAACAACCCATTACCAAAAAAGCCATGTTTGCTAGTCTCATGCACACTACCATTTGAGACTGTCTTCTAGACAGAAGTCTTAAAATAAGAATGGTCGATGTACAAATCAATGAAAGATGGCAGCGTCTCTCTAGGCACTCTCTTTAATGCAGAGCTGTGTTTTCAAACTTAAGAGCCACCATTCGTTACAAATATTTGCCTCAAGTTTGGAACTGTCTGGAAAATTCTGTTTTCCGTGAGATTTGCAGGCTTGGAGCAACCCCCCCCCCCTGAAGGAAAACATGTAATTAGTCTTTTCCTGTGGTTTTCTTCAGGTGCAGGGGAAGCCTATCCAAATGCTTCCTCTGCCTAAAATTTCTCTTTTCAGCAGTTGCTCCCGTACACAGCGGGAGGTGCTTAGGATGCAGGTACAGCAGCAGCAAAATAATCTATTTCTTTACAAATGTCCTCCCTTAAATATCTCCTGCAGACCACTTAAGTCACAAGACCTACAGGAAATTAGTTGACTAAGTCATCTACCTACTTTATGAATGAAGTGCATGAAAGGAGACAGGTCAGTGCTCATAGTTTGTCTTTCTCCCCTTGACACTTCAGTGTTGCCAGGCAGCATGGGTCTTGTCAGCATACATCTCAACCTGATTATAAGAAGCCCTATAATTTGACCTGGTATTTTTCTACAAGTAGTAACATATTGAAAAATACCAACACAAGTACAATGCTAATGTTCTATGCCCCTTTTTCATAGTGATAGTTCCATGACGGTTACACCACAGAATAACTACACATGCATACAACCCTTAAGCCAAACTAAAAGTTGGACCTTTTTCCCTAGTGACAAGGAGTCCTGGGGCACCTTAGAGACTAACAGATGTATTGGAGCATAAGTTCTCGTGGGCAAAGACCCACTTCGTCAGATACATGCATCTGATGAAGTGGGTCTTTGCCCACGAAAGCTTATGCTCCAATACATCTGTTAGTCTATAAGGTGCCACAGGACTCCTTGTCGCTTTTGCAGATGCAGACTTACACGGCTACCCCTCGGATACTTTCCCTAGTGAAGCATTTTTTTTAATCAAAACTGCTTTATGATCTGTATACCTTTACACTCTTACTCTATGAGCGGTCCCACTGACATCAACATATTGAGTAAAGAATTATTTAACGCGAGCAAGTTTTTCCATCGCTGACCCTTAATTTCTGTCATTTAAACAAAAACAACCTTTAGTTTATTCTGCATCTACATCAACTCCATCATCTAGACAAGCACGTAACACCAAAACAATTTGTAAATGTCACCCACTTCGACAGCATGCGGTGACACAGATGAACATCTCATTTCCTATTCCCTTAGTTTCATTATATTACAGTCCTTATTGAGATAAAATGAGGAGAAGAGAACGATCCGCCACACAATTTATTAGAGTTGATGGAGTGTAGACAGACTTTTCAATCTCCTTTAAAACACCGTGATTCTCCATAGTGTATTATTAACGGAAACAAATGAACGCAATCTGCCGCAGCTTTTTACCAAGCCATTCACCGGAAACATAGTGATGTAAATGAATTCCATTTCATTTCCCCCTTTGTGCAGGAGAACTTTAAAAGGGCACAATGTCAAAGCTGGAAGGCAAAGAGAACCCAACTCCTATAAAAACAACTTTTAAAAAAAAAGTAGTCTCCAAGGTGCCACGGGACTAACAAAAATATATCCATCCAACTCCTGTAAACCTTTATAGGTTCTACAATAGTTATAGATTCCATTTACACAGCAGTATCTTTGCTGGAAGGGGGTATAAAGGGAAATAAAGCATATATAGCCAACCTAATAAACAAACGTGATGTGCACTACTCTAGATTCTACAACAACAAATCATTGCGTAGTTTCGTTGTGATAGCAGGCCAATGTTTAAGCAATTCAGCAGCAAACATTCTTGTCAATTTCCTTTTACTGTTTCAGGATCAAAGTGAGGCAGCCAAGTACCATATGGAAAATGCAATTAATATGAGATTCCCTAAATCACATATCCACCCAATGATTAAGATAGATTATCTGCAATCGCAAAAAAAAAAAGAGAATTAAATGGAGGAATCATAGCTCTGTCACAGCAAAAAATGCAAAACTCACATTTTTTAGTTTTAAAAAGGAAATGTCACAGCACACTTTAAATATGAAGTTTTCCAGAAGAAAAGTGTTAAATGGTCATCACTGGTACCAAAATATCTAAATAAATATATAATATACACCAGCTAGCCTGTCTTGTTTTGCACATTCCTCAATCACATTGTTTAAAATACACAGCAGGACAAATAAAAAGCCAAATTGTAAATAAACAGGACAAAGAAAAAGTCAATTTTGTAAATATGCATTGAGACGGCTGGATTGACAAAGACCCCGAATGAAATCCTGACCTCCCCCGCCCCCGAAGTCAATAGGAATCGATTTCACCCCATTGCATGTGCAGTCCATCAACTTCAATATAACCATGAAACATACTAAGGTTCACCTACCTCAAACAATGACCCTCTGTAGACACAAGCACCTGTAGGACCAAAAAGGAAGTAGATTAGAAGGAAGCAGATTTCAACAGACTCATCCATAAACCAGTGCTTTAAAAGGTCTTCACCTTGCATTCTTTGAGCACCCACAATTCTGCATGTGCAGTCCATCAACTTCAATATAACCATGAAACATACTAAGGTTCACCTACCTCAAACAATGACCCTCTGTAGACACAAGCACCTGTAGGACCAAAAAGGAAGTAGATTAGAAGGAAGCAGATTTCAACAGACTCATCCATAAACCAGTGCTTTAAAAGGTCTTCACCTTGCATTCTTTGAGCACCCACAATTCCCCTGAATGTCACTAAGGGTTTTTTAGGAGTAACAATACAAAAGGCAACCAAATATAGAAAAAGAAATGTTATGTATGTGTGATTTCACATTGCATTACCCAATGTGCATTATCCAAATGATGTCTATCCTTTTTTCTATTTGCTGTGAGACAGTGTAGCTCTATTAATCCACCACTTGTTTTCCATCCAAATCCCCGCTCAGCCCTGGGACCTCCTTGTTCATCTCCTCCCAGCATTGGCCATTTTAAAATCCAGGAGGCGGAAGTTCGATCACAGAGGACTCTCGGCAGTGGCGAGGCTCCTTTGTGCTTTTTCTGACGCATGGCCTCTGACTGCACATCGAACCAGCTGTTGGATAAGTGATGCAGCCACTTGATCAGGACAGCACCATTCAGAGCCTTCAAGCCCATCCGTCCACCCTCAAAAGGTGAAAGCGGGCAGGCTGTAACCGGCGGCAGTGTCAAGGCAGAGGCCAACAAATGCCCTGAAAAAGAAACTAAACTACTCTCCCGAGAGTGGTAGATCCCACCTGGCCCATTGGCTCAGTGTGGGGGAAGCTCAAGAAGCCCCAACTGGAGGGATGTCAGTTAAACTGCCCACAACTGGATTCTGTCTAGATTCAGACAGACTGGCTCTCAACCTCTTCACCACTGTGGGCTGCATACGTGGCTCTCTGTGTATTATGTGGACCGCATACGTGGCTCTCTGTGTATTATGTGGGCCACGTCCATACTAATTTTATTTTATACGATTGGGCCACAAGCAGCCCACGGCAGAGAACCATGGGACTAGAGGGTGCAGCTGTGAGCTGTCTATACACCAAGAAATGCACCATCAATCCAAAATACAGCGACTAGTCCGACACCACCTGTTGCCACTGTTCCTTGGATAATCACGTCTGATGTACTATCTGAAAGATGCAATTATCTCAGCCGTCCCAAGCCAAATGTCTCTGAGTGACTTACCCAATTTCTCACAGGGTGTCTGAGGTACTGTCCTTGGCACTGCCCACTGGCAAACTTTTACTACTTGCAGCGCTGTTATAGCTGTGTTGACCCCGGGAAATGGGGGGAGAGGTGAGGTAATATCTTTTATTGAACCAACTTCTGTTGCTATAAAGTTTGTCTCTTCCACCAACAGAAATCTGCCCAATAAAATATATAAATTACCTCAGCTGGTCTCTCCCTCACTTTTAGTACATGTTTGACCACGCCATCTTAGCACGTTTGGGTTCATGGCCTTTCCTCTCACTGAATAGTGGGCCAATGCTGTTCCTTCAGCAAGGCCTTCTCATATAGCTCTGTCCTACCTTCTTCTGGCTGAGGTCAAAACTGCTCAGTACCAGAAGCTTCCCCCACATTGAGCCAATGGGCCTCAGGCCTGACCAGATGGGACCTACCATTCTAGGGAGAGTAGTTTAGTTTCTGTGTCAGGGCATTTGTTGGCCTCTCTATTGACACTTCCATCAAACTGACCTTCCAGTTTGGCATCTCCCCTCGTAGTAGTTTTTGTAACATGGATACTTCTCCACCAGGCTCAGGACAGGCACAATTAACTCCTTTCACTGATCTGCCTAGATCCTTGAACCGCGCCCATCACTGTGCACCTCTCACACGGGCCAACCGTCAGAACATGACGACTTCCTGGCCTGAGTCTGAATTAGTGACCGAGAGGTGAACAGCTTCATCTCCCATTTTTAATACCTTGAGTTGGTCACCTCCACAAAATTGTATTCCTTCTAGTTAATCAGCAGTCAAGCCAGGACACCTTCACATACGTCTGCCTGTATTGAAACTCATCTGGCATTCAGGCAACGTGTGTAAAAACGAGCAGGTTTCCATCTTGTCCCCAACTGCCATCACAATAGGTTTGAGAACCGCACATTCAGGAATCAGTCCTGTCCCTCATTGGAAACAGCCCCTGGGATAACTCTGGGAGCAGGTGCAGGCTCTTAAGCAGCACGTTACATACAAGGCTGGTTAAATCAAACTAAAAATGTGCCAATAAGTCTGAGGGGATGAAAAGCAACCGGGGAAAACCACACCAAGGGTTTGGTCCAGCCTGCCACTGGCACATGGAACAGCCATGCAGAGCTGGGAATTCTGGCTGTGGAACAGACACAGAGGTCTTGGGGAGAGCACAGAAACAAAGTCGTCATAGAATCATAGGACACTAGAACTGGAAGGAACCTCGAGAGGTCATCAAGTCCAGTCCCCTGCACTCACAGCAGGACCCAGCACCAGATACACCATCCCTGATAGGTATGTGTCTAACCTGCTCTTAAATATCTCCACAGATGGAGATTCTACAACCTCCTTACACAATTTATTCCAGTGTTTAACGACCCTGACAGTTAGGAAGTTTTTCCTAATGTCCAACCTCAAGCTCCCTTGCTGCAGTTTAAGCCCATTGCTTCCTGTCCTACCCTCAGAGGCCAAGGAGAACAATTTTTCTCCCTCCTCCTTGAAACTCCCTTTTGGATACTTGAAAACTGCTATCATGTCCCCTCTCAGTCTTCTCCTTTCCAAAATAAATGAGCCCAATTCTTTCAGCCTTCCCTCATAGGTCATGTTCTCTAGACCTTTAATCATTCTTGTGGCTCTTCTCTGGACCTTCTCCAATTTTTCTCCACATTTTTCTTGAAATGTGGTGACCAGAACTGGATAAAATACTCTGAGGCCTAATCAGCACAGAGTAGAGTGCAAGAATGACTTCTCGTGTCTTGCTCACAACACTCTTGTTAATGCATCCCAGAATCATATTTGCTTTTTCTGGGACAGTGTCACGCTGTTGACTCATATTTAGCTGTGGTCCACTATGATCTTTAAATCCCTTTCTCAGTACTCCTTCCTAGACAGTCGCTTCCCATTCTGTATGTGTGAAAAACCGATTGTTCCTTCCCAAGTGGAGTTCTTTGCATTTGTCCTTATTAAACTTCATCCTATTTACCTCAGACCATTTCTCCAGTTTGTCCAGATCATTTTGAATTATGACCCTATCCTCTAAAGCACTTGCAACCCCTCCCAGCTTGGTATCATCTGCAAATTTAATAAGCATACTCTCTATGCCACCATCTAAATTGTTGATGAAGATATTGAACAGAACTGGTCCCAAAGCAGACCTCTGCGGAACCCTACTTGTTATGCCCTTCTAGCATGATTGTGAACTGTCAATAACTACCCTCTGAGAATGGTTATCCAGCCAGTTATGAACCCAGCTTATAGGAGCCCCATCTGAGTTGTATTTCCCTAGTTTATTGATAAAAAGATCATGCAAGACTGCCATGTCCGCTTTTCCCGTATCGACAAGACTTGTTATCCTATCAAAGAAAGCTATCAGATTGGTTTGACATGATTTGTTCTTTACAAATCCATGCTGGCTGTTCCCTATCACCTTATTTTCTTCTAGTTGAATTCCTTAATTACTTGCTCCATTATCTTTCCTAGGACAGAAGTTAAATTAACTAGTCTGTAGTTTCCCAGGTTGTTCTTATTTCCCTTTCTCATAGATGGGCACTATATCTGCCCTTTTCCAGTCTTCCGGAATCTCTCCTGTCTTCCATGATTTTTCAAAGACGATAGCTAAAGGTTCAGATTCCTCGTCTATCAGCTCTTTGAGTATTCTAGGATGCATTTCATCAGGCCCTGGTGTCTTGCAGACATCTATCTTTTCTAAGTAATTTTTAACTTGTTCTTTTAAATTTTATCTTCTAAACCTACCCCATTTCCACTATCATTCACTATGTTAGGCATTCCTTCATCCTCAGACTTCTTAGTGAAGACAAACAAAAAAGTCATTAAGTACCTCTGCCATTTCCAAGTTTCCTGTTATTGTTTCTTCCTCTTGGCTGACCAAGGGGCCTACCCTGTCCCCGGTCTTCCTCTTGCTTCTTATATCTTTGTAGAATGTCTTCTCGTTTCCCTTTATGTCTCTAGCTACTAGTTGGAGCTTGTTTTGGGCTTTTGCCTTTCTAATCTTGCCCCTGCATACCTGCATTGTTTGCTTATATTCCTCCTCTGTAATCTGACCTAGTTTCTACTTTTTATAGGACTCCTTTTTTTAATTTTGAGATCATGCAAGATCTCCTGATTAAGCCAAGTTGGTATTTTGCCATACTTTCTATCTTTCCTAGGCAGTGGAATAGTTTGCTTTTGGGCCCTTAATAATGTCCCTTTGAAAAACTCACAACTGTCTCCAGTTGTTTTTCCTCTCAGCCTTGCTTCCCTTGGAATCTTACCTACCAGCTCTCTGAGTTTACAAAAATCTGCCTTCCTGAAATCTATTGTCTCTATTTTGCTGTTCTCCCTTTTACCATTCCTTAGAATCATGAATTCTATGATTTCATGATCACTTTCATCCCAGCTGCCTTCCACTTACAGTGGAAGTCATCTGAGAAGGACTATCAGCTGACCTCCAAAAAGGGGTGTGCACATGTTTCAGCTACACACCTACCAGACCACTGATAAAACGTCATGAGCCCTAGTTTTTCAGGGAAACTACTTTTCTGATTTCTCATCCAGGGATCAAGTGCAGAAACAGTAATCAAGAAAAGCAGGAGAAGAGCCTGCTAGTATATGGAATAAAATAAAAGGACAGAATCTGTGTGATTAGTTGGGAGTATCTGCATTCTCGATCTAGTGCACACCAAGGCATATACCCAGTGCAAAAAGTAGGGAGAATAGACAGCCTCTCAAGCTGTTTTCAGCACACTGAAAAGACTATGAGGAAAACGAGAATGGGCACATTTATGTTTGTGGCTTTTTATGTAATCAAGAGCTCTGCGTACAGATTAATTTCTCACTCTCTCTCCAATATTCATTGTCCCATTTGCCTTGAAACTGGAACTGCACGTACTTTGAGATGGAGTGAAATCATTTCACTGATAGAC